AGGTGGCGCCACACCAGTCACGTGACCTCGATGACGCAACAGTATGCATATTTTAAGATAGCATGTTGTTTTTTCAAACCGTATATAAATGTTAATTTTTTTTCTTTGTTTTGTTTGTCACTCTCAATATATACCATATACAAAATATTTTGTTTCAAGAAATGCTTGAAAGCTAATCCTCGAATCTTTACAGTTTTTGACTGGTGGTTACCCTTGTATTGCAATTCTGATGCCATAAGTGTCATACAAAGAAGTATTCAAATAAATGGTCACAAAAAATTCTAGAGTACTGAAAATTCTAGAGCTTTTTTTTACAGAAAAGTTTAACATGCATGGATAAGTTGTGTAAATATGTTTCATAATGCATGAATAACAGCTTTTTTAGTCTGTTGTATTAAGTTAACAAAATAAAAAAGCAAGGTGATAATTTTGTTTTTCTACTTTTCAAACAGCTTTTTGATAGTGACAACACACGCATGGATGTATACACTGGAAAGATGTTCCGACCACCAGTCATAGTATCATCTGGCCCTACTCTCACTTTGAAATTTCTAGCCAGTGATGACCATCTTAGTTCTGGTTTTCGTGTCACATATGCTTTCATCAGCTGTAAGTAAAATATTTCTATAAACTGCTGCATTAGAGTAAATATTTATTTCTATATTGGATGTTAAAGTCAATGCCATTCTACATTCTTCATTACTGAAAGGGAGTATCTCAAGAAATTTTCCATAATGCCACAAATGAACAATGTGGGCCTTGCATCTGTTCTTTTAACACAATGCGGATGGATTATGAGTTTACTCGTGTTTTGTACAGAGCATCTTTGTGTGCCATTTATTAAATGATGAGTTTGAAAGGAGTCGGACGCATTTTATTTTATTGATAACTCAACGATATTTTTTATTATTTATTTGAAACTTATAGAGTATGTACATGAAGACACCTTGTAATTTTTTTAAAATGTGGTATCTTGTAAAACATTTTCCTATATGGAGTGGAACTGCACAAAACTTACATTTGTATTGTGTTTTAGTTCTTTTCCCATGGGCAGTACAACCTCTGCAGGTTCTGGTAGGAAATTTCTTTTTTTCCTGTAAATGTAATGAACACAGGAATATGTCTTCTTGGGGGATTCTTATGTGGGGCTCTGCTTGTACCTTCAGATGATGGACTGGGTTCGTACCTCTCTAGTTCCAGTGAACCTTCTTTCTCTTAGTCAGTAATCCATTCTCTTGCTACAGAGAGGAGGAACTACATATATTTTATTTTTTTCTGTTGATTCAGGGCTTGGTAGATTATATATGAATTGAAAAGGCTGCAATTTATTAGATAAAGTACTAACGTTTTTTTCCATTTCACTGTTTTTCTGAGAATGGTGTAGTATGAGAGGTACTGATTTGCATGATCAACACCTTTCATATGGGCATTGTATGGGAGAACACACAGGTTTTTTTATTTCTTCTTCAGTTATTCTATTTTTCTTTCCTGTGGTAGAAACAGACGAGTCATGGATGGTTGAAAACATTCTCACTTCTCACTTGTCTTTTCATATGAAAACGAGAACATAACTTTTTCTATGTAAAGCTGTTTCACCTTTTTTCATTGTTGAAACTTCAGCCTTCAGACTTGGTGGCAACCATCTATTCACTCTATTGTTCTGCAGACTTTTGTTTTATTTTCTAGGAACAGGTTTGCAATGGAAGTACTGTTGTAATAATTGTCCTTGTATATGTGGTGCCACAATTGGGAGCAAGAACTGAAAGAATAGTCTCCACCTATTTTTCCCCTCACCTGTATAAATCTCCATGTTGCAAATATAACCTGTGTCACTCTCACACACCATTCTCACCAGTAGGCCATATTTTACTATTTTTGCAGGGTTGTATGTTCAGAATCGTAGATGTCCTCTCCATGGAATCATGCTCTTATCCAATGACAAGTGTTGTTTTGGTCTCATCTATTTTCTGATTATCATTGAAATGCCAAAATGTCCAAATTTGTTAAAATTTATTTTGGGTCATTGTCTGCAAAAATAATGGGCTAATCAAAAGAGGATCTATTGACTAATAAGCTTTCCAGTTATATTTCCTTGTCTGTCCCATTAGTAGAATAAGGCTTAGGAATTTCCTCATGTCTGTAGGGGTAACTTCAAACCATTGAAGTCCTTTAGATGACATTTTATGTTTCTCTGCAGTTTGATTATGGTAGGTACACATTTCCTGACAAACATTTCAAACTAGTCATCACCAAACATTAGACTTGTGATGGCAGCAATACTTTCGGGTTTGGATGGAGTTATAGTGACCCCTGGATTTCTTTCAAACATTTCCAAGTTTAGTGGAATATCTATTTCTGGCCAATTATCATTATCACAATAAGAAAACAAATCACTGACAGGAATATTTGTTGAATCATCATCATCACTTTCTGATTCAGAATCAGTTGAGAGCATAACAACTTTACGTGTCTTTGTAGGTCTAACAATGTCACTGTAGCTAGAGTTAGTCAGAAAGATCCACAAACACATCCATATAAGAATAATCACCTTCACTTGGAAGATCTGACAAATTATCATCAAATAGTTCAGTAATTATCTCATCTTCACTCAAGATGTTACGTTTTCTGTGAGAAGTCATTTATAAAAATATGGGTATTGTATGCAAAAATCAGAAAAAATAACCGTCCAGAACAAAGTAAAACTTGTCCAACTCCTTTCAAATGCATCGTTTTAATAAATGGCACACAAAGACGCTCTGCACAAAACACGAGTAAACTCGCGACTCTTCCTCAATGTGTTAATTGTCAACAGGAGAAAAAAAATTCCTTATATATGTAAGTAAGTAAATATATATATAGAAAATAAATATACATGAATAAAATGATAAACAAAGGAAATGATTTTGATGTTGTTTACTTCATATAATATCTAATAAAAAACATTAGCATATTTTTTGTGCTCCATAATCATTATTTGTTTTATATTTATACGTTTTTTTTTATGTGTCTTTCTTTATCTTTTAATTTTACTGCTTCTCTCTACTGGTCTTTGTTGTTATTTGATTTCTCAGTGTTATAACTGTCTTCATGTCTTAAGTTTTACCTTTCACTTTTGCCTATTTTACAATTTTGCATAGTACTGTGTCATTTTTTTCACTGTTTTTTCTTACTTTTTCTTTGTTTGTCTACTTTTTTCTTTTTATAATTTTTCATGTTAATACTCTTGATTTGTATTATTAATTAGTATTATATGCTTTTTCTGATGTTTCACAAGTTTACTCCCCTTAAATTTATTTTTATTTCTAATCTTTTTTCCACATTGTCTACTATTCTTGTACTCATATTTCTTTTATTTCTCAATTTTTATTTTCTTCAGAATCATTCTATTGTTTAATTTTCTTACTTACTCTATACTTATATACATCTTGATATATGTTAATGTTTTGTGCTTATACAGCTAACAACAGGGACTGGTTTACTCAAACTTTTACTGGTAAGTATTGTGTCATCTTATACTGAATAATTTTGTGGTGTGATATTTAAAACTGAAAAAAAAAGCTACAGTATCTAAGAATCTGTAACATATTTGTAGATGTTACATTAAACTACATGGCTTCCTTCGAGATATGAAGTTTGTTAAACTTTAAGCTGATTAGCTACATCTATGAGAAGACTTATTAGTGAAGTCAGCAGTCAACCTTGTCAACCTATTTCAAACATGAGGTTTGATAATTGAATTATATCAAACAATTTGATAATAAGCTAGGTAGATATATTATAATGCCATTACTTACATTACATTACATATCTTCTTTGACTATCAATCTGCATGTAAGGTGACAACATGCATCTCCTGTTAAATAAAATAATTATTTTCAAGTTTATGTAAGAAAGAGGGACACACATACTAAATGTATTTATAACATAAATTAATCTGAATTATTTCATATATTAACATTTATCACATGTATGTTACACATACACACAAATTTCCAATCGTTCATGCCAACTTCTCCAATAATTAGGGGTGCTTGGTGTATTTTTTGTACAGCTACTTGGTTCTCAGCAGCACTTGGATCAATAAATTTTCGGGGTGCTCAAGGATCTACCAAGCTGATGCCTATGCTTCCAGCTAATTTATAAAATTGTCTCTCCTTAACGTGTCCTACCATTTTCACCATTAAGTACAAATAAAGATGATGAATCAACACTATCAGTTCTCTTAACCTCAATTAAATCCCCTCTAACACTTCTCTTTTCAAGTGAAAACAATGTCAGTGATCATAACCAATCCTTATATGACAACCTTTCCATCCAAGGTAACCCTCCTCTGAATTCTCTTCAACAATTCGATGTCATGTGGCTTTATATGTAAAAGGTGAATTACAACCTGTTTCAGTTGATGATATCAAAAGCTAATAGCAATGGGGTTGAATCTATTTGGGTTTTTGTCAGTGGTTATAAGGGAAGAAGGCTTTCATTTGGAATTTGTTATAGACCACCAGAAGAAACTGATGAAATTAATGAGAAACTTTACACAGTGAGATAAAGAATTAAATGTCTGCCAGTGGGAAAGCGGTGAGTTTACAGACTTACTATCAAGGCTAGATTAAGATTGTGGGGGATCCGGGACAAATATTTTATGGGGGGGGGGCCTCACCAAAGGCATAGCTTGAAATATTAAGATTGGCCAAAATGCATATAAAAACAGTCTATATTTTAAAACATTCATGCAGAAATCTTGTGGTTATCAAGGGTTAATAATAAAATATAGAGGTAACAATTTACCATTGAAGGATAATGGTACATATGTGTTCCATTGTAAAGAATATTTGATAAATTTGAGTATTGAAAAATTAAAGCTCACATGACATAATATTGTATTATAAGTATATTATTATATTGTAAATATAAATAAACTATTCACTTGTATTTTTATCAAAAATCCATTAAAAAAATATATTTGCACTTACAAAAATAGTTGGAATATCTAGAGTAAATATTTACACACAATTGTTATAATTCATATGCCATCATGAACCATGTGTAAAGTGTGATTGGGCACTTGTGCGAGCAAGTAATACGTGCATTTTTGACATGATTCTACCCTTAATGAGAGGATGTTAGCAAAATGATTTGAGGGATAACTATGCAAGTTTGTCTTTATATTATAATATAACATTTTTTATATTATAATGAAATACGTCTGTGTTATATCAGGAATTAATGTTTTCCGGTCTAGCTTTTGGCCTGTTGTCACCAACAGATAGCTGTGAATGAAAAGTGCATAGGTATCTTTTATTTTTTCTTATATTAGTTTATCT